TTTTTTTTTTTTTTTTTTTTTTTACACCAGCGAACCTGCAAAATGCTTGCTTAAAAATTTAGCTCAGCATTTTCATATTCGCATCGCTTCAAAAATCAGGAGACTAAGTGGGAGAAGCCAACCCTGGTGTGCGTGGTGCCTACTCATCAATCACTTTTTGTACCACCTGGAACTGCAGGCATCTGCCCATCTTTCATATCCTTGCTCTTTGGACCAAACTCACTCCCATTCCTCTGCGTGGAAGTTTCTTTTGTATCAGCTGGAGAGTGAAAGGGAGATGGATTCAGATCTTCCTCTATTGGAAGAGTTCTTTTGGAGCCTTCCAAGGCAACTCCCAGGACAATGTTCTCCTCCAATGGAGGTCTGCCCACAGGGGTCTTCTCGCCATCTTGCTTATTCTGCACGCTCGAGGAAGAAACATCAGCTTTCTCGCTACTCGGACCGGCAGCTGAGAGTGACCATTTGGGAGGAGTCCCTCGTGGCGTATTATCCTTAGCGTTCAGTCCTGTGAGATCTTTCTTTTCTCCTTTTACCTCATTGCTTGTTACTGGCTTCTCACTGCTGCTTTGTTCTGGAGTACTGGTTGGATTCTGGGTCTGTGTGTTGGATACTGATCCAGTTGAAGGCTTAGGCGTTGTTCCTGATGTGTCGGGGGCTTTCGTTCCTGATGTTGAGACTGCCTCTTGTTTGGCATCTTTTTCTTCGCTTGATGAGCGAGCAGGACGTCCAGAGACCTTGGCTTTATCGTCACCATTGACTTTATAAGATGGCTCAATAAGAAGCAGAGGGCGGTTAGTAGCCCCTGTACGAGAATACATGGTCTCAGAAAATGGTACATTCTCCAAGTCAGCCTCACCATATATTTTCTGAACAGTGCGTATGGGAGTGGCAAGCCGGGCCCTATGGTGGCTGATAACCCTGAGAAGGTCCAAGAGAATTGCCTCCTGCACATCAATGGCAGCTGAAAGTTCAGATACTTGATATTGAAAGTATCTGAAATATACTGCTAGCCAAAATTAGCTATATAGTTTAAAAACACCAAAAAGCAGTGGTACCTTTACACACAAGTACTCTTCAAAACGAGAAGTTTTCACAAAGCAAGAAACCATAATCTGCAGGAACAAAATGAAATTGGTTAGTCCAAGCCTACCGTTAGCAGATATTGTCCCCTTTGAGCTTTCCCTTCCGAGCTTCCCCTCAAGGTTTTAAAACGCGTCTACTAGGGAGAGGTTCCCACACCTCTTATAAGGAATGCTTCAATTCCCTATCCAACCAAGGTGGGATCTCACAATCCACCCTCCTTGGGGGTCCAACGTCCTCGCTGACACAGTGCCCGGTGTCTGGCTCTAATACCATTTGTAACCGCCCAAGCCCACTACTAGCATATATTGTCATCTTTGGACTTTCCCTTCCAAGTTTACTCTTAGGGTTTTAAAATGTGTCTACTAGGGAGAGATCTCCACACCCTTATAAAGAATATTTCATTTCCCTCTCCAACCAATGTGGGATCTTACTTGTCGGACTCACTTGTGGTAATAATGATTGATAAAAGTGAATTCATTTCTGAAGAATTTGTTACTATTCCAAAAGAAAAAAAAAATAAAAAATAAAAAATTCCCTCAAGATATACCATAAGAGCCTGGTTTTCAGGATTGATGTTGTCCAAGAAGATTCTACGGTGTAACCTTTGCTGTTCAACTTGAGGATTCTTGGACAAAACTTTCCGCATATCAGCTACAATATACTGGACATTGAGACCAAGCTCTAATTAGACAACATACAATGAAAAGAACCTAAGGTAGACAAGTGCCAAAGATAAACTAATATTGACTCACATTAATCTTGTTGACATCTAAGTGGCTGATGGCAAGATGAGTTTTGATACGCCAATGAGTCTTCTGAGTAAGATTTCTCACAATACTAACGGTGAATTTGTGATTTGGAATATGGACTGCTTCACGATCATCGCCTCGGATAATAGTCGGCGACCACCAACCAACGTGCTTGCATTTGGAAAATGCATGTCAGAAAGGAAAATCAACCAAAACTAGAAGAGAACTTTTTTAAACCAAATTGATATGTTTTCCCTTCTGTTCTTATCAAAAACATATTCCATAAGGTAATGATGATGTTAAAAAGCACAAACCTCAACCGTTCCAGAAACTTCATATCCATCAATCTTTGTCTGAATCCATTCATTTACCACAAATGGTCGTGTTGCATGAATCATTACACTTGAGAGAAAGTTAGTAAATATCTGGATACATCAAAACAATGGAGTAAGTTTTTCTGGTAAGAGACCGTCTCGTAAATGGGAAAAAGACAGCAACTTCGGTGAATAGCAATGGCACACTTGACTATGAACCCAAAAATATTATAAGATTCATAAATGTAGTGTTAAAAAGTGACAGTGTGTAGAAGAGAGAAGGTTTACCTCACGACCAGCAAGGGTAAGTAATACGGTACCAAGACCCCCAGCTGTGAGCCACTTTTGGGTAGAAAAACCTAGCAACTCCATGAACAATGAAAGAGCAGCAATCCAGACTGCAGTGTAAACAGCTTTCCCAGCAAAATCAAAGCCCATCTATAAAAAATGACGGCAGAAAATAAGAAAAGGGACTAGTTTTAAAAGGCTAACTCAATATATCCAAGTAACGTAGGCGTGTATGGGTTAACTTCGTATTCGTTTTGATTTTAGTTAGTTTAGTTGGCAGGGTTAACCTATGGCTTCGCTCTCCCGGTAAGTTATCCATTCAAGGATATCCTAAACAGGGTATCCATTCATAATTTCTATCCTCATTCTAACTGGCAATGATTAACAGCAAGCAGACGTCAGCTAATTTAAATTTAGAACTGGTTAAACATGTATAAATGACAAAAGAAAAAATGAAATTAGAAAGAAAATCATACATTTCTAGCATCACTTGAGTCATTTGATTCCGTAGCGAATTTTTGTACTTGTTGAATCAAGCTGCATAGAAGTTAAAGCCTGTTAGAATCATAATGCAGTAACATTTGCATTGGAGCTCAACATCACTCAATCAAAAATATCAAAAGCAAATCTGAAGTCCCAGTACTTTGCACCACCTTGATATACAATAGGCAAATGCCAGAACAGTAGACAAAGCTCGAACAAAATTTAGAAGTCGCTGTTTGATGGCCTGACTGGCTACTGACGGTAAAACTACTGGATCCAATGCCCTGAAACAACGCTTCTACATTCAGTACCTATAGCATCATCAGAGCAAGATCAGCTAGCCCGAGTAATACAGACTGCAGACGAAAGCTGACCTGCAGATCAATGTAGCTCCTGTCCATAGCAGTAAAGGCTGAACGTAGGAAGTCGTAACATAGTATGCATTACTTTTCTTCCAACTGCCATCGGGCTCCTGCAACAAATTTTTCATGAATAATCAGAACTAATAGATGTTTGCCTACCAGCTCATTAAAATAAAATGATATGTTAAGATCAATACATGAAGAAATAGAACCCTCCCCAAACGCATAAGAGGTCCAACACCCCAAGCAGCAAAGGCAATGACGCAAGCTGCTGGAATTAATTTAAGTAACAGAGGACTTCCGCGTAAAGCATCATAAGATCTGTCAGAAAGTCCCAGAAAACAGAATCAGTATTTGATAAGCACAAAAAAACATGATGAGCAAAAGGAAACAACGCAAGATTGAAGAATTTGGTGCATCTCAGGTTCAACAACCAAGCTAATAGTCACTATTGTATCCAATGTGAGGTAAAAGAATATTTAATACACAAATTTACAGACAGCATGATTTGCGCCATTAACAATAAACGCATGCAGAATGCAGCAAAATGTACTTGCTTATCAAGGTTAGCATAAGACAGACTACAATTTTATGAAGATGAGTAATACCAATATGAGAGAACTTCCAACACCAGATTATTAGCAAAAGGGGTTTTTGGCTCGATTGGGATAGCAGGATTTGTAGGGGCATGGAGGATCTGCCAATGAGGCTTTGGATATTGTTCGTTAGAATAACTCGTCGAGGGTGTTAGTCTCTCCACTTTTTTTGTAATTATCAGTTCGGTTTTATTCTTTTGGAATGGAGTCCATTTTTTAAGGAATGTTAGGAATTTGTGAGACTGATTTTTTTGCACCCTTGATTTCCTTTTCTTTCTTTTTTCTTTTTGGATAAGAAACAAAAGAATTTGCAGAAGACAGTTTAAATACAAAATACCTTGTCAGCACCAAAGCTGCAGTTTTTAGAACAGCAGTCCCAGCTCCTCCACCACTTGGTTCAAGAACAGATCGACACACAAAAACATTTGCTCTGGAAGACATGGGATACACTGGACGACTTGCACTGCGTAAGAGCTGAAGACGTCCAGGATCATACCTCTGAGAATTAAACAAAAAAAAAAAAAAAAAGTTTACTCATAGCTTTAAACATTCATACAATATTGAATTCTTTATACTTTCACCAACCAAAGAAATGCAGAGTAATTTAAGAGTTTCCACATAGAGCAACACTTTATCTTTTTATTTTTGAGAAAACAAACTCTTCTACTCGTAATCCTTAACTAGACAGACAGATACAGCAACTAAAAGAATTTTTCAGAACTCAAATGTATTTCGGCCATACCAGATCGTGTGACGTAGGAATGATAGTAACAAGATGTAGCCGGGTCTTTCCCTTGCCACTCTGCAGAGAAAGAAAGTTGAAGCCAAGAAATTAAAATTCCAGTTTCCAGCCAATGAAAATATTGAGCACATTAAACAAAAGTTCATAAATGACATACAATATGTAACTTATTGCATCCATGAACGATTTGAATCCCCAGTTTATGTGAAAATTGGGTAGAACCAGCATGAACCATTGTTGGGTTGAACTGAAAACAGCAATGTCCAAAGACAGTATCGGAATACAAATTAGGTTAGTTCGAACACAACACCCGAAAATGGGATCCGATTACGTAGTGAAATCTCTTGCTTCAGAGCTCAGCAATTTACAATATAATGTATAGTACCTATCACAATCAATAGGCAATGTTAATACACAACCAGAAAATGAAGAAAACAATCTAATAACAAATGAAATTGACAATACTATCGAAAATTTAGGATGCAACGAGGATGTTGGGAGATAAAATCTACTTATTTGAACAAATCCATGACAAAGAAGCTCAAATTAACGACATAACTGAAAGCAACTAATTCAAACTCACAATAAGAAATATTGTAATTCCACTAGTGGCTTTAACAAACAGTAAACAGCTCACTGTCGGAAATAATAATAATAATCAACTCCCGGGATCACATCCTGACATCATTCATCCATTAAATTAAAGTTTAAACAAATAAAGAAAGAACGAAACCCTAATATTTTGCAACTTTCCTAATCCTTCGCTACAATATCCCCATTTCTACAAACAAAAACACGCGATAATCTTGAACTCAGAGCATCTGCAGCCCACAGAGGCTAAATCAAACCCACAATTTACGTTATCAATAATTCATCAAACATAAACAGAGATAAATTTCAAGTTCCCTAAGAAACAAACAGAAAAAATCTTAGGGAGAAATTCGCGTTCAACTGAAACGATTATATCCACAGACTATTACCACGATGAGAAAATCAACAGAAAACTATAGAAACTCGTCCTCTCGGATTTGCTCTAAATAGAAACCTAGCACCGCCAGCGTAGACAAGAGGAGGGACAAATGGAAGAAACTTCCGCTAAATCGCACCATCGGCGGGGGGGAGGGGAGTCGGGTGCCAGCGTGGACCAATCAAAATGCAGCGCCGTCGGATTTGGCCATTCTGGAAATTACGTCAGACGATATTATTAAATTTTCCGTGTAAAAATTATGTGGCGCCTGGAGCTTGGTTGGTCTTATGGCTCTGGTTCCCATTTTGCTAAGCACTCCTTCCACTTTCTTTATTCTTAATTTTTACCCTAAACTTATCAATATTACAATGTTTACCTTATTATATCTTTAGTCAATTATAAAAAAACTATATAAATTTTTCAAACATTATCTTCAATTTTGTTGACATTTATAAAGTTATTACATTATTATTTTATTATAAAGTTTTTTAATTCAAACTCGATTTTTCCATATTAATTTTTAATTTGCTACTTTTATCAATTTTTATAAAGTGTACTTTTTAATTTGTTATTTTTAAAATTATCATAGTAAAATATAAAAATAAATAATACAAAAATAAGGAATTTTAATTTTAATATTGTTTTAGGTATATTATTGATAATAAGATATTTTTTAATGAAAAATTATTTAAAATGATTTATATTTTGATTATAGAGGAAATTGGAACGGATATTCGATAACGGAGTCAATTTCGATTGCTTGTGGATATTTGGTCTGAGTGTCCCTTCCCATCGTCCAACCAATGAAGCTTTTGAAGTAATGTAATTTAGGACCACGTTATTGTTACGCCTTAAAATAGGGCAACGTGTCAACGTTGTCATTTCATTTTCTTCCTACTGGAATTCTGTGTACACTATAATTACATGCCTATTTTCTTCTTCGGTTCTTTTCAATCACGTTTCAACGGTGGGAAAATAAGCTCCAATTACTTCAAATTTGAATTTATTTATTTGACATTTTCATAATTTTATAAAATTAATTTATTTACTATATATAATATTCCATTTTAAAACTCTGAATTTTATTTATTTATTTATTTATTTTGTTTTAAATTTTTTATCCGGTCAACTTTAGTTGTCATAATTTAATAAATAAAACAATAATTCATCACTAAAATTGCTGGCGCGTGAGTGGGGACACACAAACTCTGACGTGGCAAAAATTGAATTTTGAGCTAATTTCCCTCCCTCGCTAAATTCAACCTCTCCATCTCCAGAGTGATGAAAGGACCCGTGGAATGAAATCAAAATCCTCGATTCATCTTCAACCTCTCGACGGTGGACTCCGTAGCTAGTTAGGAGAGCGCCGATTAGCGCTTTCGGTTTCCATTTCTCGGTAGTTTTTTAATCTTAGAGCGATATTTTGCCTTAAACAAGCTGCCGGCGGCAGAAAATGAGGAAGGCAAGCCGTCCAACGAAGCAAAAGGGAGAAGCCGATGCCTCGCCGTCCTCGGTCACTTCGGCTACGGACAGTAGAGACTACGAAAAGAGAATTCAAGAGCTCGAGCGTGAAAATAAAGCGTTTCAGGTTTTTAATTCTTCCTGTGATGTAATCCACTCCGTTTGACCGCTCAGAAATTTGAGAGCGTGAAAATAAAGCGTTTCAGGTTTTTAATTCTTCTTGTGATGTAATCCACTCCGTTTGACCGCTCAGACATTTGAAGACAAACAATTGGATCGTGTTTCATTGTTTGATGTACAGAAACTCGGCAAGCTAGAGTAATGTGTAGTGAAATGAAAAGATCGACTAAGTTTCTCCTCTTACTGATGAGAGCTTTGAGCAGAACTTCATTCTACACCTGCACAAGAAAAAAAAAATGATAGGAGAAGAGTATATGTTAGCATATTTTGACATCAATTTTTGGTTCTGAGAGAGAATGTGGTTGTTGTTCATTTCTAGAATTTATTTTTGCAACTGAATACACGGTCATTGCTTTCTCACTTTTCTGCATCTGATAATTGGCAGAAAGAAATTAAAGATCTAAAGGACAGATTAGAAATTGCTTCATCAAGCGCTGCGAATAGTGCTAAAAAACTCAGAGAAGGTTATATTCAGAAGTTGGATATTCTTGAAGATCAGGTGCAACGTGTTTTTTTTATTTTTTGGTCACATGTTGATTATCATGCAATTAACCAGTCCCGTATTAAACTCTCGCAGGTCACAGAATTGAAGAAGAAACTAGATGTTCAGTCTCAGCTTTCAACCAGAAGGCCAAAAGGTGATGGAGCAACTAAACAGACAGATTTTGAGATCATGAGTTTGAAGGCTCAGAAGGTAAAATATTGCTGCAAAGTATATTATTCATTCTTATGTGAAACTCTTCTATTGTTCTCTTCGTCTACGTCCATTGCCAACAGAAAATTTTCATTTAGGTTCACCTACAATGTAAGATGAAGCTAGAGTCTGTGCAGTTCAGATTATGTAAAGGTTCATTGGAGAAGGAAGTTCTTCAGGTATGTTAAATACATATTATATCACCATCACTGTTCATCTTGTAATCCTGACTGCTGCTCTAAATAATTTAGTATTGATATTATATGTGGTTTGAAAATTCACGTTTAGATGTTTGGATTATGGATTTTATCTCTGCTATTGACATCCATATATCATTTTTCCCATAGACCGACTGTTTGTAGCTTAATTTATTTTTTGAACAATGTTTTTCAATGTGCTATCAGCTCAAGAGAGAGAATAGAAGAAATGAGCATGAAATGAATAAGCTCCGAACTTCAAACCAAAGACTAAAGATGGTGAGTCATATTCTTTTGGAGCCGATCTATTGTGTTTCTAACTTTTATTTTAATTTTTATAGAACGGTTTCATGTTAAATGTTTTGTAAATTTTCTTTCTTGAGGTTCTGCAACGGAAGACCGAGGAAGCTTCTGAAATTACAAAAAAGATAAGAAATCTTTTGGAATCTCGAAGGACTTCTGCACAAAGAAGAGCAGGTTAAGAACCAACGTTCTCATCAAGTTTGTTTTCTACTTAACCGTATTCACTTGTTTTTCATCTTTTTGGAGTATCATATGCAGGTGCCAGACAGGAAAATGTTACTTCTAGTCAGGTAATTCGTGGAATTTGAGCTTAATGTTTGCGTGTCTATATATGCCTCAATCAGCTAGCGATTGTGGATGGATTAACTTGTCATATCACTGCGGTTGTTCATCGTATAATCATATTTGTTGGTGCATATCAGCAAACGAATTTATTTTTTGGTAGTAACTGTGAAGGGAAACTCTAACAAAATCTTAGTTACAGTTTTTGTTTTTTTTTTTTAATCCTCAAATTGATTTTTTTTTTCCCCATACCATTGTAGGCTTTGTTTTATTCTTCAAATCTTCGTGTTGGTATTGTATTTATAATTGGCATTAAGAAAATTCTGTTGGTGATCGCATTTCAGAATTATCATGAATTACTGAACAGTTCCTGGTTTTGTTTGAAGTTGCGTCTGTTATGGTATTCTTAGAACTTAAAGAGGCTTCCCTTTTTAATCTGCCGTAACGTGAGACTAAAATTAAGTAAAACGACGCATGTTAAACATTTAGGTTAGTGGATGCAACATTGACAACTTTTATTGAAATGGGCAGTACACTTTAAGCTTCCAGCTGCAACATCTCGGCATTTCCATGAATATGAAACTTTAAGACTAAAATAAATCATCTAAAAGTTCCATGTCCATTTTGTTAGTGAAAATGATAATAGATTAAAGGTGAATATTTTAGTTTAGCAAACATTCAATATGTTTCGGTTCTTTAAAAGAACATTTGTAATTTGATGGATTGGCTTACCATTTCCTTTCCAGTAGTTGATGCCACATTTCTATTGAAGAACTTACTGTTTGTAACGTGCACCTTTTCAAACTTTTGTTGCATACCTCTAGGAACTTTTGGTCTGAGTAGAAAAGCAATTCTTACTCGTGCACTCCCTGCATGTGAATGTGTATTGCTTTATGATATATGTTATATCAGAATTCATTTGGATTTAAAGCGTATAACAAGTGCTTTATGCTGGCTGTGACTCATGAGTTATGACTTATGACCAAAAGTTCTAAGAGTCCTGAATTTCGTGCATATGTGATCCTTGAAGATGTTCCCAACAAGATTTTTCTAATGACTGAAGCCTTTTCTTTTTTGTGCTTTTGACAGTATACTCTTCCATAAAAAAAAAGCTTTAAGCACACATGAATTATATATTATCCATGTGGATGTAAATAAAGAGATTGGATAAATAGATCATGACTGCATCTTTGGTGATTTTTGTTTAACTGCAAAATTTTCGTGCAGTCTGTTGAGAATGAATTTGAAGTCACAGCGAGCTTACATGAGCTGTGTTCCCAGTATGAGCATCAAATAGAAGAGTGAGTATTTGATGCTTTCTTTCCTTTAAAAATGTCACCACCCTTACTGTTCAATCCAAAATTCTACTTCTATTAGAATTGGTTCTTGTGCTTCGTTCAATCCATCGTTAATTTCACATGTGACCATTGAATGGTTGGGCTAGACATGTTTCTTTTAAATTCATCTGTATGTGAATTAAAAATTTCTTTTGGACTGTAAGATATCTGTGACTTGATATTGAGTCCACTGATTCTTTAAATGAATAAAAACTATAGTGAGAATGAATTTGAAGTCACAGCGAGCTTACATGAGCTGTGTTCCCAGTATGAGCATCAAATAGAAGAGTGAGTATTTGATGCTTTCTTTCCTTTAAAAATGTCACCACCCTTACTGTTCAATCCAAAATTCTACTTCTATTAGAATTGGTTCTTGTGCTTCGTTCAATCCATCGTTAATTTCACATGTGACCATTGAATGGTTGGGCTAGACATGTTTCTTTTAAATTCATCTGTATGTGAATTAAAAATTTCTTTTGGACTGTAAGATATCTGTGACTTGATATTGAGTCCACTGATTCTTTAAATGAATAAAAACTATAGTGAGAATGAATTTGAAGTCACAGCGAGCTTACATGAGCTGTGTTCCCAGTATGAGCATCAAATAGAAGAGTGAGTATTTGATGCTTTCTTTCCTTTAAAAATGTCACCACCCTTACTGTTCAATCCAAAATTCTACTTCTATTAGAATTGGTTCTTGTGCTTCGTTCAATCCATCGTTAATTTCACATGTGACCATTGAATGGTTGGGCTAGACATGTTTCTTTTAAATTCATCTGTATGTGAATTAAAAATTTCTTTTGGACTGTAAGATATCTGTGACTTGATATTGAGTCCACTGATTCTTTAAATGAATAAAAACTATAGTGAAAATTAAATTGGCTTCCGTTTATGCTTGCTTGGTCGACTAGATGGTGAAGCAGAAAGGCGCTCCTTGATTGCAGATGAAAAATTGATTACGTCGACATGTCTAATTCTTGTTGCAGTTTGAAATAATTCTTAGTTTTTTGTTCTCAATGAATTTTGGCCGAGTTAACGTTCTCATTTTATGAGAGTAACTTACACAACTCATGGAATTAAAATGTTACAAGAATTTTGTTTTGTGCTGCTAGACATGCTTGGAGCTTCTGGTCATTTGGCGTATGAAGTAAAAAAAAAAAAAAAAAAAAAATCGTTTGTCTTCCTGCACTGGCATTCTCATAATTAGAATGTGGCATTTGCTTTTTGTACTTAATCAATGACTGCAATGTTTAATTACCTGCCTACAACTTGATTTTTTATGTTTATATTCACAATTTTCTGTGGTTAGGAAGGATAAGGAAATTGCAAAACTTCAGGAAGAAGTAGATGCCCTGAAGCAAGAAGAAACAGGGTAAATGTTTTGAAATGTTGCGAGGTTGAGGCAGTTCTAATAGGACTACTACTGTTTTTCACTTCTCCAGAACTTCATTCACCTTTTGATTCCTGCCTTTTCAGGTACCAATCACTGGAGACTGATAACGTATTGGGAAACAATCAAGATGCGGCTGAACTAAAGGAACAGATGGTCATATTAAGTGGCTTGGTTAACCAAATGCGAATCCAGAAGTTCAATCATACTCAAAAGGGTGAATCAAAGGTCAGTGCATTTGGCTTGTAGGCTGCCATTTTCTTGAGCTTGATAGCTTCCCTACCCATTTCAGTGAACACCGTTAGTAACCACGAATCTCTACAATAGTAGATATTGTCCACTTTGAGTATAAGTTCTCATGGCTTTGCTTTAGGCTTTCTCAAAAGGCCTCATACCAATGGAGATGTATTTCTTGCTTATAAACCATGATCATCCTCTATATTAGCCAACGTAGACTCAGTCCACAACTGAGACTGAGACTTTAAGCATAAAACATGATATGAATTCTATGAAGCTGAACTGATCATATAGTTTTATATTAGGATGATTCCGGTCCATCCTCTGCCAGCAATGGGAGTAATAATCTATTCGAGCAGTTCGCTATAGCTGGAGAAGAACATTGGCGCGGTTTTAACGTGGCGACGAAGAGAGCTGTAAAAGCAGAATGCTGCTCTTGCAGCAAGAAATCACTGTGCAAGACAACGAAGTGCAAATGCCGATCAACCGGAAGCAGCTGTGGGTCATCATGTGGATGTGCGCACGGAAAGTGCAGCAACAGAGATGAGAAACCAAGTGAGATGGTCGATGAATTTGGGCCACCAATGAATCCTTTATCTGACATAAAAAATTTATTGGTAAGTTATGACTTTTATAACTATATTATTTGAACACATCCTAACTTTTCTTCTATCTTTATTAACAACAAATTTGAACTCTGCAGACCAATTAGACGTACTGTTACTTGTCAATGAACATAGGCAGGGCGAATGGCTACATCTGAGTTTCCTGCTGCTGAGCTGATCCGCCCATCCACCTTAAAACACTGCACATATGGCCTAATTTGGAGTTTTACCGCTAATACTAAAAAATGAGGACCTACTGATTTTCCTCGCCCTCTACTTGAGCCAGAACTGTCTCAGATTGATGAAATTATATCATTTTATGCAAATTGCTGCTATTAGCGTTGATTTTTTACCCTTTTAACTTCGGTCAATTCTTTTAATTGGACACGAAATCTTGTATTCAGCCCTCTCAACTTGTTATTTAAATTTTAATCTGACATGTTACAGGGGAGGAGGCAGGAACTTGGTCAAGGATAGAGCATCCTTTGCTTGAATGAGATTCTGCTTCGGACCCCTACATTCTGGTCAGAGATGTATTCTTTTCGTGCTGTTATTGTTTTCATTTATGATATAATCTTCATCCAATAGGATATTGGCTGTTACTTAATAGGTGACAATTTGAAATGTTTAAGGAATTTGTTATTTTGTGTTCAATAAGTCTTTTCTATTTTTTATTTGTTATTTTGTGTTCAATAAGTTTTTTCTATTTTTTATTTGTTATTTTGTGTTCAATAAGTCTTTTCTATTTTTTATGGTCTAAAAAGTCGATGATTTGATTTGTTTGGCATTTTAAAAATTTATAGATATATTAGACATAAAAGTAAAATGTTTGAATTAGGTTAGATACAAATTTAAAAGTTTAATCATCTATTAAATATTTATTTTTTAATAAATATGTGAAAACTTCCCCATAATACACATATTTTAAAACCTTGAGATAAAATTCGAAAAGAAAAGTCCAAAGAGTGTAAGGAATCACGATTCTCCACAATCATATGATATTGTCCAAAGAGCATAAGTTTTCATAGTTTTGTTTTGGACTTCTCCAAAATGCCTCCTACCAATGAAGTTAGTATTCTTCACTTGTAAACCCATGATCTTCCACTAATGGGACTCACTCTCAATAATTCTCAACAAAGACGACAATATCTACTTGAGGACAATATCTGCTAGAAGGAAGCTAACTTGGACTGTTATAAATGGTATTAGAGTCAGATATCGATGTGACAGCGAGAACACTGACCTCCATGGGAGATGGATTGTGAGATCGCACATCGGAGGGAGGAGAACGAAATCTCTTCCTAACAAATGCATTTTAAAACCGACTATTTAAAATAATATCTATTAGTGATGGACTTAAAAAGAATAAATTCGAAAATCTAAAGTACAAAGATGTCTTATCAAACCTAATCTCTACTAACCTAGTGCCAAGTTTGTGGATCCAATATTGGAGTTGACCGGCAACACGTTCCGAACCCGTGGAGCCATAAGATGAAAATTTGTTAACTGCATTTTCTACTCCAAGAAACTCGTAAACGTCCTCGTCAAAGATCGGACTCAACGTTCGCAGATCATTGAGACTCAGGTCCTTCAGCTGGCAGTTCTTTCCAAGACACATTGTTACACACTTGCCTACAATATCATGAGATGTTCCGAAATCTATGTACAAAGATGGATGAAATCAGAGAGAGTTAGAATCACTTTTAAAATTTAAAAAGGACCCATCTTCTAAAATAATTGAATTTGTTCTTTTTCTCTTCTTGAGTAATGAATTAAGCCTCTAACAATATTTGCTTTTACCAATCCCCCCAAAAAAATTTTGTTCTAAATAGCAGTTTTCGAAACAAATGTAAGTAACTGTTTTGGGATCAATGAAAGAATCTTTTAATCAAAACACGCCATGTGTTGAATCTAGGTTCGTTTCTTAAATTTTAATAACATGAGTAATTTTTGGTAGATTTATAGTTTCTTTTTAAGTATCTAGGTTTATTTACACGGTGGCTAATTATGATCATAATGTATATATAGTGAATAATTATAGTAAACAACTCTTGGAATGCCTCAGGGAAAGTTAAAAGGTTTTCATTTTGGGGCTAAACCTATGTATGTTATCTTTGTAAGAGAGACTTGGAAAATGTAGTAAAAGCCAAGTTTCTTTGCAAATCATTCAAGCTTTAACATGATCAATCTTGTGAAGTGATTCAAATCTCAAACGAGTATTTTTGCCTTGAGATATTAGATTAAAAAGGTAATCTAAATTTTACTTTACCTTTGAGTGATTATTTATGATTAGGGCTAAGTGCTCTTACATTTTCTTTGTTCTATTTAGTTTAGATTGCATGTTTAAAATCGTTCCAATTAGAAAGGATCGATCTTGCTTGTGGAGTGATTCAATCTCAAACAAGTGTTTTTGACTTGAGATATTCGATCAACAAAGTAATTCGAATCTTACTTCCCTTGTAATGATTCCTTATCAGACAAGTATTCACATTTGACCGGTAGTGTTAAGCCATTTCTCTATAATAGTGTTAACATTTGCCAAGTGATCTTCTAACAAAGATGAGTAAAAGACAATATATATACTAACCTTATGCACGAGATAGTCTGCAAGTGTAGTCGCGTCAAGATGACCAAGAGAAGCCTTCTGGAAACGAAATTTGAATTGTCAAGAAATTCAAACCTGCAGATCTTGGTTGTATGCAAGAGGAAGACCCTTGCACAATGTTAAAAGGGTTACTAAATCGTCTACGACTCTAGCCGACTTTCCACGAACGAGTTCCATTGGATCCGGGTTTTTCTTTTGGGGCATTATGCTACTTCCAGTTGAAACAGAGTCATTAGGTGTGATAAATCCAAACTCCTCTGAGGCCCACAGTACCCATTCTTCTCCCAGACGAGAAAGATGGATGGCTGTAATTGAATTGGCAGACAGAAACTCCATTGCAAAATCCCGATCTGAAACAGCATCGATACTATCTCGAAAGATGAAATTTACGTCAGATGGAAAAATATGAAGAGCTGCATAAGTCTAACATGACATTGGAGGAGTCCACCTTGATTAATTTAGGGAATGGTCATGGGAAGTCCAGAGCAAAACCATGAGAGCTTGTGCTATAATATCGTACCATTGTAGAGAGTTGTGATTGCTAACATGGTATTAGAGCCATGCCCTAAACTTAACCTTGTCAATAGAGTCCTCACGTGTTGAACAAAGAAGTTGTGAGTGTCAAAAAAGTAGTCAAAAGTGACTCAAGTGTCGAACAAATGGTGTACTATGTTCAAGAACTCCAGAGAAAGGAATCGAGTCTCGATCAAGGAGAGACTGTTTGAAGTCTCCATAGGCCTTAAGGGAGGCTCTATAATGTACTTTGTTCGAAGTCCCACAATATGAGGGTTTTTTTTTTCTATTGGGTAATATCATACCATTGTGAGATAGGTAATTCCTCCGGCAAACATGGATATTCCAGCCATCAACATCACCGCCATGAACAACTTTACAAGTAAGATGCTAGACAACTGACCTGTTTCTCAAAGGAGATGAGAATCCTAAAGCGTTCGAAGTCGTGAATCGATCAATTGGGAGGCCAGTACCAGCCAATGCACAAGCTCCTAAGGGGCAGAAATTCAGTCTAGATCTGCAGTCCAGCAATCGACCAGAATCCCGATCAAGCTACAAAACGTGAAATGACATTTGTAGATCCAGAATCAGATTTCTGTAGAGTTTATGAAAAGTGAAATACAAGCATAATCTCCAATCCTAATTCCGACTTTGTTCCTTAAGATTAGGAAAATGATAAACCATGAAGCAAATTGGAAATCAACAGTTCTATAAAGTTCTATAAGTAACCATCACATCGCAAGGGAAGATCGAAACCGTGCAGCTAACGATACAGCAGCAAAGCAACCATTGATTTTAGGATTTCAGCCATAACTTAAGACGCTAAGCTAAAGTACTGTTGAATACCTGCTCAACGAATGCCAAGAGAAGATGCTGAAGTAGGACGGGCTGTGCTCTCTGCAAATGTGTATAGCCTGGAACAATAGTTCCTGCATTCTTAATTGCCAAATCCACCATCGCAATCTGAAGATCTTTGATCCTATCGACAATGGAGTCGATGGCATCGCGGCACCACAAGCGAAAATCAGTCTCGACTTGGTCGTTGCGGCTCCGAGCAGGATGAAGTTTCTTGGCAGGTTCGCCAATCAAATCAGTAAGCGCAGCTTCAATGTTCATGTGAACATCTTCCCTATCAGCTCTCCAGACGAACTCGCCATTTTGAATACGCCTCTCGATCGCATCAAGACCTGTTAGAATACTGTCTTCGTCACTGACGCTTATCAATCCCTGCAACCAAAACCACAAACCATTATCATGAATGCGCAGCGCATTATCGTTGTTCAGTCCTATTAGGGTAAAACAAACGCCACCGTCGCAGAAACAAAACAGAATCGAGCTTCACAGAAATTACAAAATGAAAATAAGAAGTAACAGACCTGCTTGGCGAGCATCGATGCATGAGCACGACTCCCGCGGATATCATACTTGTAAAGGTCCTTATCTAAAGAAATCGACTCTCTAGATCTAATAAGTACCTTGTGTCAGAATTGAGAAAGAGTTTACGAATCCAATAGAAGAAGAAAAGAGAAGAGACCGGAAACCCGAGTGAAAGAAGCATTGATTTTAAAGCGTTCGACTGCATCAAGCTTCATATAATCGGAGGATCCGGCCAACGATGTTGCTCCGTTAGCCTCAGTGATTAACGGAACATCAAGGTTTGCCATGGCTACGCGAAATGAGCACAGAAACAACTAGGAGCGACAGGCCTTTATAAGCAGGTGGCGGCTCTGTTCTACAACACTGGGCTGCTGACACTCGGTCAGAGGTGCTCAGTCGCCGGACCTACTACCTCATCGTTTTCCAATGAACTTTTGAACGAAAATTACAAAAAGTAGAATCAAATATAAATTTTATAAACGACAAAGAAGAACACAACAAAGAACAAATACATGATAAAGAGAGAATACAATACAAATTATATAGAAATTACATAAGCTCTCAAATTTGGATAGCCTAAAAAATGTCAATAATTATTAATTATTTCCCCTTTTTTGGTGGTAGCTTTGAATTTTTCATCTCTTTTTAAAAAATTATATTCATAAAAACTTTCAAAATTATTTTTTAACAAAAAAAAAAAACATTAAAATATAGTTTTTAAAAGAAATAATATTGAAATAATTGTATTTTTTAAATACACAAACTATAATTATTTTTTAAAATAATTTGATCCTAATACAATAATAAAAATAATCTTTTAAAAATGCTTGTCGGTCTGTCATTTGCGGGAGTGATTTGGGCCCTGATGGGCCCAATTTGCCAATCAGATACAAATCTGCCGGGTGAGTTGGGAATAGGATAACCCTTTTTCTGTGATTTTGACACGTCAGATAATAATTATTTATTAAAAACCATAAAAATGGAGTTTTGTTTGCGACCGAGATGGAAAAAACAAAGGCCATTTTAAAAAATATATATTAAAATTTAAAACTAAATTAATAAAATTCACGCTCTATGTAACTTAGAAGAGTCAATTAATATAATTAATTTTATTTTCTATATTAAGTATCGCATTTAATAAATTTAATAATAATTATAATTCTTTTCCAAAAAATATTGATTATTTTTATATTTTATTTTAATACACGCTCGAAACATAATTATAAATCTAATTAAATTAATATTTTTTTCGTTATTCTAAAGTATACGAAAATGAATAGGTTGTGTAATCTAAGTTGCTCGAGCAGCGTGGCATGCAAGTTTTCTGGTCAATATTCTTCCACGCCAATTTTCATAAATATAAACTTAAATTATATATTTTATGTACCAATTATTAAATCAATGGTGATTTTTTATTCATCATTAAGGAGTGACGTCATCAAAAACATATTCTAAAATTTATAATACTTTGAATAATTTAATAAAATAAATAAATAAATAAATAAATAAAAATTTCTGGCCTATTATTTAAAGAGTCCAAGCACCACAAATCCGACCTGGCAATAGTTTCTCATATTCGTTTTCCTCTACTCCCATATCTACAGTATCCAAAATGTAGTCTCGTCCGTGACGTAGATTCTTCCTAGAAATTTGATTCTTTAAATCCTATCCGTCCACGTGTTGCCGTGTATTGACTTTCAATCTCGTTGTTTTGCAGACGATAAAGTCCTCTTTGCAGCCTTTCTCACCACGTAAACGTAATTTACATTTAATATATGAAATTTGATTGGTGTCAAATGATTATTGGAGAAGCATCGACGGATCCGACTGTATCAAAAAAGCGTTTCATCTTTAACTTCTTCAATTTTGACGATCAGTTGGCTGAAATTTTCGGTGTTCAATTTGAATTCGTCGGCCTCTGAATCGTCCATTTGCAGAAGACCGTAGCCATTGGAGGTTTTGCTTTGAGGTTTGTTCGTTAAGGTATTATAGCTCTTTCTACGTTTCTTTAGCTTTAAATTTTTGCCTTATCGCTATAGATTGTGTGTTTGGATCATTCTGCGCAAGAATCCTGGATTCCTTTTTGTTACTTTCGGTTGCAATGTTTGAAAAGCATGTTTTCGGAAAGTCAATTACTAGCGGGAGGAGGTTGCTTCAGGAAGAGATTGATTTAAGTTTCTGTCTGTGTTTGGAATTTATGAGTTCTAAGGATTTAGAGGGTATTTGTTTGTTTGTTTGTTTGTTTGTTTGTTTAAATTTTCGGTGCTTGAATGAGTCTGAAACCTAACAAGAGAACGCGATTGCTTTTTTTTTCTTCATCATTTTTTAAAATAGGAACAATATTATATTATAGGTTCTCTTGATCTTGCCAGCCTCTTGAGTAGAAGCAATCTCTCAAATTAAAAATGGGAAGAAAGATCGTTGTCAGCCTTAATTGTGAACTTTGTGGGAGATAAATTTAGCAAAGCCGTGTTTCCTTTTTTGGTTACAGCTCGATCTTGTCTAGGTAGTTTATAGGTAATGGTTATTGTTTTGATTTGTCTATTTCCAATTCTGCGAAAGCTTCTACCTGGATTGCCACGCGATTTGGACTTAGAAAATTGAGTCGTTGCCTGTTTTGTCATGTTTTTCTGCTAAAATTCTTGAAGAATTTTGCATTTTAAGCGTGAAGTAAGGTGGAAAGAGTCCATTATATCTCCCTTCTTTCATATTTTTTTCCTTCCTGAGCTTGCTGGATCCTTTGGATACATTCAAGACTATTTTTTAATCTATGCTACATTACGTGCTATGGAATTTACTTGTTAGTTTCTTCTTTTTCTTAACTTGTACAGTCTATGATTGCAGCAATTTTTCTTTTTGTCGTTCCGAGATGTAGTTGATCATTTTCTTCTATCCTTGACAGGAAAAAAAAAACTGCTCCATTTCACAACCGTGGCCTTGGAATCTACCTGTAATTAGCGAGTTTTTCATTGGAGAGACTTGTTATTCATTAGTAAAGAAAATTGAATTCACACATGTCTGTGGCATTTCCCCAACTCTCCTGGTGGTCGTGGAGCGGGAAGCATAAAGAACCTCGAACCTCTAATGGATCCGCTTTTAATGCTTCACTAGATACAGTCATTCGGGAACCGGATACTCTAAAATTTCCTTTAGCAAATGGTGCCAACATATCATCCTCGTCTAGAAGGGTGAGGCGGAAATGGCATAGTCGAGAAGAAAGGAAAATTGATAGGGAATACGACATTGTTCTTGTTCCATCTGATGGAGGATGTGTTTCAGGGTCAGAATCTGATGATTCGGATTGGTCAATTGGATGGTCAGAACCCCATGGACCTGGATTCCAGAGCGATGATGAAACAGACAACAGTTTTGCAGTACTGGTTCCATGTTATGGACGCGTTTACAATGATTTTGTGGATGAAACAAAGAACAGTATCCTAAGTGCTGCTGGGAACATCAACGATAGCTTTTCTGCAGGTAAGAGTTGCTTCTTCCATGCTTGCATTTGGATTGGGGTTGGGTGTTAGTTATTGCTTTTGCCTTCCAAAATATTCTTATAGTTCTCTTTCGTGTATAGTGAACCCAAGAACTTCATACATATCCCCTGATAGCTTAATTTCATAATCTAGAATCAACTTATACCGCAAATGTTGGACATCAGTTCACGTAGCCACATTCGAAAGAATGAAAAATCTTTTATGTAATTTAGCTGTTGTCTCATATCCACAGACTCATCTATTTTTAGGAAGATGATGCTATTTCCTTTTCTGAACTTAATTTCTAGGGAAAAATTCTTCTTGACGCATTCTCAATAGGTTGAAATGCGACACCCTCAGTTTAGTAAATCTTGACAGTTGGGCATTAGAAAATATCAGCGAATCAAAGAACAACTGAGTGATCCATCCTTTTTTCCAAGAAAAGGATGGCATCAGATCCTTGTTTGCACTTCTTGTAGCAGGGTTAGCATAACACTATGTACATTTATGTAGTGAGCAAAGATCTCTCGAATGCTAGTTACGATTTCTGGTGTAAGTAAAGAATCTCTGGAGGACATGTAGGAGCCATTAGGTGAAAGTGATTTTAACCCTTCAAACCAATCCAGTAGTTTAATTTATTCTCTATATGTGCAAGTGAGGTAGCAAATAGATATATATCCTGATATAATGACAAATATAGAATGATAGAATCAAACTCAACATCTTTCAGTTTGGAAATTTCTCATACACCTTGTTCGTACAGAGACTCTCAATATGTAACTTCAGAGAACTATATTCTATTTGTTTTGAGGCTTTACAGCAATATTCACAGTTTCCTTGTTCTGATTGATTTCATCTGCCTTTCATATTACATGATTGTTCTTCTGGCCAATGTGAATAATACTAAATAGTAGTTAGTTACATGTGAAATTTCTTTTTTGGTTGCTTTATGTCTGTTCTAAGCTGATTTTGTCTGCACTGCTCTTTTTCATGGAGCAGAGAGCAAGAAATATATGGAACAATGGCTGTCCTCTCTTCAGAGCTGCTGATGCACAGGGTTTATAATTGCTGTACGCATCGGATGCTAATGCCCTGTTCCAAGACGAAAGCATTCTGTGATCTTTAGCTATTCAAAAATTACAAAAATATGGAAAAAAGAAAAGAAAAAAGATTGTAAAAGTCTATCTATTCTGGCTTCGTTTGATATACAACTAAGAAGCAAATTGGATGAAAAGATTGGATCCATTGATTCCAATCAGTGGGTGCAGGTTGTGCAGGTCGAATCTTTTCCATTCTTTTGAGCATGCTTTTAAGAAGAGTGAGTTGAAAAAAGTATGATCTTATCTGGTGGGATGAAGCTTGTTAAAATGGGATGTAAATACTTCGAGACTCCTTTGTAAATATGGAAGGGAGAAAGGAGGAAAGGGTTGAGCCAAGCAGCCGAGGCTTGGAGAAAAAGAGCATTAAAAAAGAGGTGGAAGTGCAGGTATGGTGTAATTCTTTGAAGTTCAGTTCATGTATAAAGTGGGAAGTCTCAACTTTAATTGATCTGAACGTTGCTGTAAATAGTGACTCATTTGTATGCATTGTGTGATCTGAGTGGGTTTGGTTCATTTAAACGTTGCTGTATATGGTGACCTCATTTGTAAAATTTGTTGCACATAGTAACACAGCTGTGCACCCGTGTAATGTCTCTCCCTATTCAATGTAATATTCTTTAGAAACTCTATTTTAATAAGCTAAAAAGTCTACATTAAATAATAAAATCAACATTTTGATGAAAATTTTTATGGCAAGGATTAAATCGCAAAAAAAAAAAAAAAAAAAAA